GTAATATGTTAACAAAAGACATTATTCTATACTTTCGTACGATTTTATTGCCTTTATCGCGATATGCTTTTTAGAAACGTACGAGTTTCATCAAAGGATGAGCCGCACGATACCTGATAATTTAATAGTTGTTTGTTGATAGAAGAGGAAAGCTCTTTTCGCAGAATGAACACGAGAAATACAACAGCGATATCGAAGAGCAAAGACAAATATTGTCGACGGAGCGATTGTTTGCGTGTCGTTGTGTCTGCCCGTCGTCGCAGCGAGAAATTCGAGGTCTTCGCAGTTGCCATCTCGACTCTTGCTGGTGTTTCACGACCCCCGTGTTGAATTTCGCGACCTTACGCACACACAGTTTCCGCTTTCGGTGGCGAATTCCGCTTTTCGCGAGGACTCGGACTATCGAAAACATTCGCGAAAACTTCGCCAGTTCGCCTTCGAGGGGGCGAAGTCTCTTTCTCAGTCAAAAACCGGTTTACAGCGATCGTGTAGAATCGCGAAGGACACTCGCAACACCGGCTCGCGGGAAAATGATGGAGCTCCTCTGCACTTCTATCAAATATATTGATAACATCTGTCGGAATATGAGATAACGAGAAACCGGGTCAATTGCTCGTTTCGTCAAAGACTAGATCGGGGACATATTCGTACGGCTTACATTTGGTACTGGCCATCGCCATGACCCACAATCCCAGTTCGAGAGGGAGCCATCAACGAGAAGATAGCAACAGACGCAAACGAGTAATCGGTGCTTAAAATGTAAACAAACGAAAAAGAAGATTCAGTTGCGCAGCAACGTGCGTCAGATTCGCTTTAGAAAGTTGCTCGTATCCGAATAAAAATGTCACTAATCGGCCGGAATAAAAAGTTACCTAGTTAATTGGCACAGGCCAGATTAAATTTTCTAACGTGTTATTAGCTCTCGTTACTGGTTGATTATTTACTGGAAAGAATCGATTTTTTTATTTAGCCGTTTACTGCAAATTCAAGTATGTAATTTTTAGACACTTAGATGTGTAAAATCGTGCAGTCACTTTTTACTCCCGTGTTATTTTGCAAACAAGTTTTGTTTGTATTATTTTACGAAGTTGAGTTCATTTTACACGCTTACATATTAAACTGTTCATTTAAAACGTATAATTTTGTCACATGTATTAAAATTTCCTTATCCTCTTTTATATTTTCTCGTAAAAAATGCATAGTATTAATTAAATATTAACAGAATGAATTTTACGCATGAAACACATCTCTTTTCAAGATGTATATTTTTATAATAAAATCGTCGTATTGTAAATTTATATTATATTTAGAATTATCATCATCACCGGGAAATCCGGTGTTTTTTAACAGTAGTGGTCCAATATTAGGCCAATTGTAAAACCTTATTTGGCCTGCTACATATCGTTATTAAAACATTTTAAAATTAGTAGCAAATCAGAATGAAACAAGTTAAAGTTATATTACTGGTTGGCAACTAATTATGGTTTTTCATCTCATAACTGTAATTCTTTTTGTTTAATCATCATAGCTAGTTTGTTTATCTAGCCGCTAGAAGAAGTGATAGTTGCATTACTAGCTCTAATAGCGATGTTAAAATGAACAAATCCATTACTTTGTGACCCGAGAGACACTCACGAGATTCGATTTCTACTTGGATATCTTGTCGTGTTTACAGAGAAATTTCTTTTTTGGAAAAAGTTTTATCGGCAAAAGTTGATTCGATTTAGTCGCGAACGCACGACCGCTCGTTTGATAAAAACCCCGGTGTGTTAACAAATGCACCGCCGAGACGGACTTTGCGCAAAATGAACGAAAAAAAAAGAAATTCCTCACGTAAATCGCACGACGCTTAAGTCCGCTCGCGATGTTCCGCTTAATATTGCAGACTCTTCGTGCCAGTTGCGCGTGGACACTTACAAAATTCATTTATATTTTGTCGTCTGTTTGTTTCGTTCTCGACCGACTCCATTTTAATTTATCAATCGAGGAGATTCGCCCCGCTGTCTATTTACGAGCGCGTTATACGCGTTGCGTTTCCATTGTCGGGAGCGAAATCACGGTTCGCGCGTTCGTCAATATTGCCGCAATCTTGCCCTGGACGAGCAACCGCGATATTAGCGAACTTGCATGCGCCACGTTCTCGTGTCCTGCATCATGTGTCAAATGGTGTAAACTGTGCACTTTCGAACACCCGGACTAAATGCCGAGCGCGAGTTGCTCTGTCAGGACCAACGCGCGCATATTGTCTGTGTGTGGGGAGGGAAAGGGTGGGTCGGTGTATATTTACGTCCGCACGATCGCCGAATCGTTAGAGCTGGAATTTCCGGGTCGGAAAAAGAAAGAAGAGGAAGGAAGGAAACAGAGAAGTCGCGAAAAGCGATTTATCGTGTATCGCGTCGTTCTGTGTGTTATCCGAGCTTCGATACGCTGAAAGTCCTCTAAATTCTTCCACAACTTGACGTACTAAAGCTCCCACGTACCAAACGATGCAACATGATGTACATTTTTGGAACTTTTGCCATTTTTAGTCTTTCGTTTACCATTCTATACTTTGTGTCTGTATATACTTTATATTTTATTACATACTTTACGCGTGCTGAAGGATTTTAACTTTCGTCAAGTCATTTCGGAGAATGGTGGGATCTGATGTCGGTAATCACTGATCATTCAACCCCTTAACGTCTCGATGTCTTGCCCACAAGAGAGAGGCTTTTATTTTAAGTGACTCCGAGGTCTGTTATACAATACGTCGTGCATTGCTATTGGAACACGGTCGACGGCCCAGTGAGAGGGACCCGTATTCGAAAAAGAAATTCTGTCATTGGACCATCAGCTTCGTTCCGACGCACAACTTATCGTATAACAGGCTTTAGCACGGTTTCAGGAGAAAGGGTTGGAGAAGGTGACTCGACGTCTTTGTCAGCAGTGTTACAACTTTCTATCCAAGTCTTGCTCATTTTTCCGTATCTAGAATACCCGTGCCACCCTTATCTCGCGCGTAATCGCGTTATCGTCGCGATTCCGCGGCGAGATATGCGTCTCTCTGCGGTCGCAACACGGTCGACGACTCGCGCTGGGCGGAGGCCAATAAAGCGAATTGTTCATGACGAGGGCAAGGATATCCTAGAAGAGAATAGCCGCAGTGAAATGCCGCTGCCCGCGATGTTTCGCGCGACGTCACCTTTTATCGTTATATTTATCGTTATACGTGCGCGGAGAACGGCGCCGATATCGCTTGACGGAATTGTTCTGTGCGATGGAGGCACGTACGTTCGATTAGACAGACTCGTGGATACGCCCTAGTTTACGAGTAACACAACGAGGGTCTCACGAGAGGTATCACAAATATGGCAAAGTCGCGACATTTACGCGGGTGAGACGGAATTAAAAATGATAATATTAAATAATATAAAAAATTCACGGTAACGCCCGGAAACGAGAATTTCATTTGGCCAAGGGAGGAATTTTTTATCTCGTTAGAGCGGATTCTACGTTCTTCGTTAAATATTAAATACGCGAGCGCAACTTCTGAACTTCGCGTCCCCAAGTTCGAAGTTCGAAGTTCGGCTCGCGTGAGTGAGACGTTTTCTTGCGGTTCGCATCTCCGCCTGCAGCGTGGCAACTTTTAACCGCGAAGATGCGAACTGTCGGATACCGCGCGGCACGTTGCGCTTGCAAAGTGGCGCACGTGCAAGTCCATCGTGGCAGCCGCCAAATAACGGATTCACGAGAGACGACACCGGGGCATTTATACGCCCGATGTAAATTCCGTTGTTGTTCCTGTAAGTATGCACTTCTCTACGTCGTCCTACGGACGTACGTTGTACCGTTGCCCTTCTCGAGAAGGAGCGGCGAAGGTAGGATGGAGGAGAATGTGCGGTATTCAAAACAGCTCTTGCGTGAAGGAAAGTCGCTTTCCTCGGCGCGTGTGTCTTCCTTTCGGAGCGTGGCAAAATTATTACAATTCAAAAGCACTTCTTGCGTGCGCGTGTGTGCGCGTTCAATCGCGGAGGGCTCTCGCGCGCATATTTGTGCGCCTAAAACACGCCCTGTCTAGAGAACGCAGAACGCAAGACGCGAGTCGTAGACGCAAACGCAGGGTAACGATCTTGAAACATTACACTTCCAACCAGAATCTTGATGGATTTCCCAAACGAAATCCATAAATATTTTGGAAAATTGCCAATTAGAAGCAAGAAACTTTCCATGCGGGATTCTCTTTCCTTTTTTTATGAAATTTGATGAAAAGCGGAATACATATCTAGGGATATATCTTGACCCGTTTTGAAAAAGTTTAAAAGCTGTTTTTCATACCCGGGCAAAAAGGGGAAGCATCGAGAAACTTCTACCGTCCGGACGGCGTTCCGTGGAATCCCGATTGTTCGCGCGCGGAGTATGCAATGTTTTTCGTTGCATATTCTCCCGCGGCTGTTAGATTTTTCCGAATCGGTCGCCAGCGCAGCCTCGCAGGATAAACTTCTCTCTCTTCCATCGTGGCGTCGCATTTTATCTAATAGCAGCGACCCTCGGCCCGCTTTTGTATTCGCTGCATGCCGCGGCATTTGCATTGAAATTGTTGCACCCGGCGTCGATCCGCGTCTCGCATTGTAATCCCGCCCGAGCAAACGGCGAGTGCGCTGCGCGGAGCGCCGCGACCCGCGCAAAAGCTCCGTGGAAAGAAGGGCAGTTGACGAGCGCACGCCGATAACGCCGAGGGAAGGTCACGGGCGTTAATCCTTGCCACCGGTCTACCGGATATCCGGCGCGTCAAATAATTGGCACGAGAACTCGGCTGAGGAACGTCGCGTCCTTTAAGGTCGCGAAGGTAAAAGTGGGGACGCATTGTTGGGTCGCGAGCGAAGCGAACGACGATTGAGAAGGGAAAAGAGAAGAAATAGTCCTTGGATAAGTCAGTATTTTTGGATCAGATACAAAATATCTTATCGTATATATTAAAAGAGAAAGGGAGAGAGAGAGAAATGTTATCAAGTAGTACTCACATTTTCTTTGGTCGACGAGATCTGCCTCTTCGTTCTGCCGTGATACACTCGCGGCCTCACCCGACTGTGCCTGCTAAAGTCCGAAGACGGGCCTGCAACAATTAATTAAATCCACCCTGAAATATCGCGCTTGCAAGGGCCAGCGGTATACAGCGGAGACTCGAAGAACCAGGCTGAACTGGCTCGGGTAGGTAAACGTAACTTTGTCGTGTGCCGTCATCGTGCGCCTCGCGCACGGTACCTAAATTTATGAGTCAAGTGCCTCTCATGAAACTACTTGAGTGTTAACAGGTCAGGCGACGGTGTAAAAAAAGGGAGAGAGAGAGAGAGAGACAAAGACTCGTCGGAGGCTTACATCGTAATACGGGCGTTTCGCAAAGCTTTTTAGCGAAGCTTCCGCATTAATGAATATAGTCGGCCACGAACGTCGGGTGTATCGATCGACAGAGCCGGGCGTGCTCTTACACTGTTTTTCAACGGCGCGACATCAACGGTTTCCCTGCCCTTTATGCATTCGATTATATGGAAATTAAGCAACGCGTCAAAAAGAGCACACGACCCGTGCGAGAAAAGCGCGTTGTATGAAGTATTTAACGGCGAAATCGGACGTTAAAAATTATTCAATGATCGGTTGATTATCCGATTGCCGACGAGGCGTTTCAAAATCAACGTCGACTACTCTCATTACCGATAAAACGGAGTCTCACGTTGTTCCGAGATTCCGAGAAGTGAAATTCGGAAACAATCAACTTACGAGGTCACTTCGGGTATGATCGGATTTACCCGCACCAACCACGGTATGGTTCTCGACATTTTCCAATATTAAATATTCAAATTTCGTTTTTATAGTTTCCATTAATGGTAATACGCCGTGAATTCCTAGCCGCATGGGAGGTCGGTTTCCCATTTGCTTATGCGCGATCGATGGTAAAACGAGCGGCGGAACGAATTGAACGGCGCCGAATGTTCTCGGCAAACTCAAAAAAGCGAATATTTTCTATGGCGAGAAGGGAGGAAAGAGGGAGTCGATCGTGCGGTTATCCGAGTTCATGCGCGAAAAAAGCGCCGGCCGAAAATCACCGGGCTCTTTCGCTAAATAGAGTGGTTTGTATTTCGAGCAGCGCGAGTTTGCGCGCGCGCGCGTTAATCGACCGTCCCGATCAACGTGCAATAAAGCTGCTTTTTGCGGCGCCGACTATTCGCGGCCGCGGGGAAACCGACTCTGTCCGTAACACAAACGAGCGCACCCCCTTTGCTGTCACTTTCGACAGTAATTACATCGACAAAAGTCCTTGACATCGGTACGGACAATGGGTAAATTCGGCGGCTACCCTCTTCCCCCTCCCTCCGGCCTCGGTTTTCGCAAACTTGACTAACTTCAACTCCGTCCCCGTTTCCTGAGTAGGAAACTATCGACCCACCCAGTAGCGTAGGAATTTGTTTTTGTCGACACGGGCGCGCGGAGGAAGTCGATGCTTCCGAGGCGATACGATCCGACAATTTGCATTTATCCGCGCGAGCGGAATGCGATCCGGGATTCGAAGGAGCGCGGGAGTAATTTCGGAAAGCTTGTAAAAGTAACTCGATGTTTGTACGGGCGATTTATCCTGGCAGGGCTGGGGATAATGCCGATTCGGGTTTCGGAGCGCGGCGCGATCAATTAAAGCGAGCCCGTAAATGCATTTGGCGCGTCAACAACTTTAACAAGTAACGAGAGATATCAGATTTTCGTCAACGAATTTTAGTCTGGTTTCTAAGTAATTATCTATTAAATTATTTATAATTATCTATTTATATAATTAATTATCTATTAAATTATTTTACTTATGTTAAGATAAGCGGGGCAGGGAAATATACTTTCATCTCTCGCGCATGCGCATATATTTCTCCCGGCAGTTGCTTTTTACTATCCAGTTTTTCCCAATAAGTAACTGGGTAAAGTGAGGAATTCCTACAAATTAGGGCAATGCATTATCAACGTACATAACATATTTACAAATTACACACATTAACTGAGATTCATTCCATGTAATAGTAATTAATTAAATAGCGCGCACGTAGCGCGCGTCTATATCGGTCTGGTGTCTAATAAATTTGTTGTGTAAATCGATAATCAGCGCGACACCCGATCGATCGCCTCGTTCTCCGAGACTTGCTGAAAATGTTAATTTCGTTCCTATGTATTGTAACGTAGCGCGGACTGAACGACTTCGAAAATTGGACACGGTTAATCGCTCTCTCGTTAATTAATAATGCCGCGAACGTAGCTGCGGTATACGCTCATTGATTCGCTGTTCTTACACGCCGTTGCGTTTCGAAACGTCGCGAGTGCATTGGCGAGAGAGACGCGTAGGCGAGAGAGGAGGGCTCTCGTCTGGCGATTTGTCATTCCGTCAACTGCAAATTAAGCGCGGCCAATTCTTCCCGCGTAGGCGGCTAAACGGACCGAAATTATTACTTAATGTTCCCGCGCGCGTGCGAGTATCTGAAATTCAATGAAATTCATGCGCGCTCGGAAAGCTCGAACCATCGACAAACACCGGACGCGCGTAAATTCATATTCACCGTCGATAATTATTCCCCGACGATAAATCCCTCCCCTTTTCCCGGTGGGCCAGATTTGATGATCGGGAGTAACCGTTTCCGCTTCGAAAAGCATTCGAAAGTATTTCATCGGTTATCGATTCGGTATCTATCGGATGCCGGGAGTGCCATCCGCATTCCCCGAAATAAAATATACGCGCAGTGATTTGTCGAGTCATCCGTTCTAATATTTGGACTGTGGTGACTGTAAATTGCTGATTTACCACCCGTTTCCGCGAAAACATTTCGACGCTTGCTTTCGAAAAAAAAAAAGAAGAAAAAAGACGAACGATTAATCATCGTCACACACGAGTTAATTACCGAACGGGGGAGGCGAGAACCGGGGAAGTGTAACTTGCGAATTCACTTCACGGGAGAACAATTCTTCCTTTCTAAACTCGAACGTCAAATATATCACTGATATTTGCGGAATCTCCTACCGTGCATTTCCTCTTTGCAAAAATCCCTTTTTTACATGCGCTTTCATCGGCGAATGTAAACGCACACTGAAAAAATAGCGCTATCGTTCAAGTAATATTTACTTCCAAGTAAAATAGTTATCCAAATATTCTTTGACAAATATTTACTGGAGAATTAGGAATATAATATATATTGACTATATACACGTATTATATGTACACGTGATTGATATGATTGACTATATAAAATATAATATTTCCCTTCGTATAAGTAGACGTTTACCTTATGTGTTAAAACAATTGCCACAAATATTAAATTTTAGATATTAAGAATATTAAGAATATAAACATTTACTTATTTAGAAAATATTCACTGGATACAGAAAAATTTTAATTTTAATTCATTAGATTCCTTCAATGGAAAAGATATATTACGCATGTATATAATTCTAGTAAATAATCTGTTAAATTTAGAAACATTTTACACTTATATTCAGCAATTCATTGAAATTAAGATATTGCGTTTTCAAGTATTTACTACAAGCTATTAAAAATATAGGAGAAGATACGCTACCTTGAATTCATCTCGATTTCAGCGCCACAACTAGTGATTTTTTCGCCTTGTTGATGTGATAATTCATCACGTTTACCGTTGAAATTCTTATCTACGACGATAAATACAATGAATTATCACAGTAGCAAAGCGAAAAAATCACTAGATAACGTTGAAATCAATATGGGTCCAAGGTACAGAATCTTTCCCTACTTAAGATGATAAAAACATCACTTGATTTAAGAAACGAGAAACAAGTAATTACATTTATCTGATTATAGCACTTTTTTTACTGTGCGGATTTGCGGCCGGTCACCACGTGTCTCTCTTGTTTGTCCGGCAATATCCGAAAATAGATCAAAATCAATGCCGGAGAGTGACGAGAATCCAAATTCTTTTCGGATCATTTCCAGAACGAACGAACGTCGGATCCGCGCGATTTGGATAACAGTCGCGACGGCAGTTTATACACACTGCGGCAGGCAGCGGACGCGCGGGCGCGTCGGACCGCGTCGATCTCGTTCGGTAGCGATTATCAAGCCGGACTCGCGAATGGAGTCGTTGGTCAGCTACTATAAAGTGGGTCAACGTGGAATTTTGATTGGCTCTTTAAAGCGCGCGTTCTATATCGCGCAAGTCCACTGTGAACGAAAAGCCGCCGCCGCCGGTGGGTTAGAGAGACGGCGTCCGCACATGTGCCGTGCGTCGTTTATGGGAGCGAGAGATTGACGTCAACGGCGAGGCGGATAAAAAGAAGTCTCGCTGTGCAAAAACGGCTCTCTCTTTCTCTCTCTCTCGTAAATACATATTACGTGCGTGAAGAAAGGCGTCAATGACCGCCAAAGAGAGGGCGAGAGAGGCAGAGAGAGAGAGAAAGGAAGAGAACGATCTCTCTCTCTCTCTCTTTCTTCCTCTCGCGCTGCGAACGAATTTTTTCTCTCAACATTTCGGGAGTGCGAAGACAGGAGTCCTTCGGCTCTTATCCGGCGCGCTCGCCGGATGCGGATCGTTATTTTTGTGCGAGGCGCGACGATACGCGCGTATCCCGTCATTGTCTAATTCGGATCGGGACACGGTGTGTGCGTCGCGTAGATCGCTGGAAATTTTGCCGAATAAATATTTCAGTTCGGAACCCGCCGTTTCTCTCGGAAATATTGTGCCCAAAATACATCCGCATTGACGAGCGCGAGATAGCAAATTATGGATCCGGTATCGTGAAATCCGCAGAGGAAACCGTTAGAAGAAGTCGTTACACCGGAAAATCCATTTAGTTGCCTCGAACAAAATTTGAAATTAGGATCTGTTCAAACAAATCTTTCGATTGTGAGAACCAAAATATTTGCTTAAGCAACTCTTGACAGCGCGGGAAGCGCCTTTCGTCAGGAAGTACGTTACATTTTATTGCTTAGAGCGCGAGATTGAAAGCTCGCTACACTTATAATCGTGGATCCGGGCTTATCGCGTACGTACATTCAATAGAACGCGAATACGCGACGATTCTTCTGATAAACACAAATTGTCGCCGATAAGCGCCGAC